TGTGTTTTCATATTTTCAGGGTTTTTCTGAAGCCGTAACAACTAGAACTCATAATTTTGAAATTGCATTCAGAGCATAATTCTTATGCAAGATCTGGGGTTTGTGGCAAAACTTGGAGCCGTGGAACACAGAAACTCTGGAAGCTCACTCTGTTCATCTAATCTTTTAAATATTTTAAAATACTGTTTCTTAAAAAGCTGTATTGGCTAGGGTTGGAATACAGCCTTCAGGCAAACAATCAGAAAATGAAGTGCACAGGCTGCTACTCTTTCTTTTTACTCCAAAGCCTTTAGTTTAAGATTTTGCTTATTAAAACAACTTCCAAAGTCTAATAGTATATACAATACTTCATTGCTAAATAAAATTTTATTTAGAAGATCCTTTATCCTTAAAGGAGGAGGCCAATTTACTGTTGCAGGGACACTACTCTCATTGGCTAAAGTGACAAATCCTTGCATGTTCTCAGAAGAATCATTATAATGCTGAAATTGTAGCAATTAAGACATTCTAAAAGGCATCAATTTAATAAACATAAAATTCTGCTTTGGTTAGGTTTCAACCATGTATGTTACAGGTAGCTGCTTACTTTGTCTTCGATTTCAAAAATAGAAGGTAGATTAAAGACGGTACCATTTGAAACTGAGAGATCAATGTAGCCTGTATTTTGACATACTGTTGAAATTGGATCACAATAAAATGGTTTAAAAGTATCTTCAGATGAATGAACCTAGTGCTTAGGGCAAATAAGCAACACTTAAAGATATGTAAAAAGAAATTTCATACATAAATATTTCATTGTATTCAGAAGTGTGTGTTAAAATTTATAAATTCAGATCTTCTGAAAAGAACAACACTTCTGCAAAGTTAACAAAATGGCTAGAAATGTAATGGCCAATTGCCAAATAACAAGCACTACAATAATATAATTCTGAAGTTAAAGATTAATGTTTATTTAAATCAGAACTTGTGTTAGAGAAAATTTGTGTAACCATTGGATATTTACTCTTTCATCAGTGAGAATCTGTTGTAATCGATGTATGTACTGAGTGGGTAGTTGAATTTTTCTCCAGGTGATTTATTTTTATAACCAGTTCATACTTTGTTTGAATCTTTAGTTACTGAATGAAAGGTATTGAGTAAGGATCCTACAGTCAAATGATTCATTTTAATTCCTGTAGCTTAAAGGCAATACAGCATAAACACTGTTTTGATGCAGTGTTCTTGAATTCTTTGAAGAGAGCAATACTCTAGCTCCATGCTGGACAAATGACAATGGATTTCCTCTTGCTCTTTTTTTGTTTCTGTAGTGTAACGTTATTTAAAAAACAAAAGGTTCGGTTGCATTTAGGTCAGTTATTAAAATATTGTTGGTCATTTCCTTTGACAGAACGTTTCTATTGTGTTATACCAATGTCATTAGGAGGAAAGGTTATTCCCACTTGTCTGGCTGATACCAGTACATACTGGCATATTACATCCTCTGGCCTTCTGGAAATGCTTTATTTGAGCAGCAGCTTGGGAACAGGAAATTTGAGGTTATACACAGTCTGGTTTCAGACTGAATGATACAAAATGTGTTTCCTAGAAGACGCTGTCTACCTGATAAATTTTCTCTAATATTTTGTAGAATCGGCTAAGCTTAAATGGGTTCAAGTCGGGAATAAAATTTTACCAGCTGTAGATGGCAGCCAAAGTAGAACAAGGCTTTCGGTCGCTCTGTGGTATGTATTTGAGAAACTTACATGAACCACGTTAGTATCTCACCCGTTCACCAATTACTCTGCAATGTAGCTTACCTTTTAAGATATGGCAGTGATAATATTCCCGTTTTATAGGTGTTCTTACTGTCTAGGAAGAAAAAAACCAGAGTACTTTTACTTCAAGCCATGGTCAAATGTGAAGTCTGTGACACAGTGGTAGCTTCTAAAGGCAGAGGTTCAAGGATAGCATCTTAGCCATGCTGAGCAGCCCTTTCTACCGTAGTCATACTGAGCAGCAGGAGTACAGTTTAATCCTGTAACTGTTCATTGAACTCTTCATTCATCCATGTAAAACAAAGCAAATTGTGATCAGCAGTTACGTTATGTTTCTTAAGCTGAGCCTGGCAGTGTTAGGTGAATCTGTAAATTATGTAAACATCAGGTGTTTTTCAAATCTGTGCTCTCTAGAGGTAAGTGTTCCCCTAAGTGTTCCATCCACACTCTAAGATTTTAAGTTTTTCTTTTTTTTTATCAAAGCAAGAACAATGTTTCTGAAGAATGAGAGCACCACCTTCCAAAACTCTGTTTCCCCTAACTGTTTTTGTGCGACAGGAACGTATGTTTTTCATCCTAATCACAGGAATGAGTGGTGCGTAGACAGTTAATGCAGCGCTGCCAGCCATAGTCATTCAAAAATCATGAAGCGTGTTGCTGAAAGTCATGACAGTGGTCTGAAAACCATGTTTATGAGATAGAAAAAGGATTGTATTTCTAAATTGTATTTCTTTTATTTTTGTCTCTTTTTTTCTGTATGTGGGTAGTGGATACACAGATTTCTCTCCCTCTCTGGTAGCTATTAACTTAAATGAGAAGGGGTGGAGAGGATGGGTAGAATGTAGCTGAGATTCTCTTAAAATTGATCCCCTCCAGGACTGGGGACTTCAGGAAAAACAACATGTGGTAAGATTTGAGATAAAATTGCCTTAGTAAACACTATAGATTTTTTTTTTCTCAAAAAAAAGCAAGATTTTCAAGGAAGCAATACATATTTCATGTCACTTTCACTGACAAATTAGACTTGCATGTTTTAAGTGATGATGCTGAAAGTGAGAAATTCATTTTGATAACATCTTAATATATGTGACTTCAGAGGGAAACAAATATAAAGTTGTAGAAAGATAAATGCTTGAAGTATTAAGCCATCATATATATATATATATATATACACACTGAAGTCTGTATAAAACCATTCCAAAGGGATATATCATGAACTACAGTCATCAGAGATAATAAAAATTATAAGCCTTTTTAACAGAAATAGCCACATAGTTAGAGACTAGGCTACAAGTAGATTTCTTTGTAAAGCTGAAGGTGTGGTGCCTGGTGAATAGCTGATTAGGCTTTCTGTCTGCTTTTCCAGAGTATCAGAAGATAAAATTGGTACACAACTCATTAACTTATTTTTAGGGCAGAACTATGGAGTCTCATCTTGAGAAGATCCTCTGTTTCAGCTTGAGCTTTTTGTAAACCTCTTCATAGAATCAAAAAATAGCTGAGGTTGGAAAGAGCCTTTAGAGATCATCTAGTCCAGCCCCCCTGCCTGGGCAGGGTCAGATAGAGCAGGCTATCCAGGACCTTGTCCAGTCCGGTTTTGAGTGTCTCCAAGGACAGAGACTCGACAACTTCTCTGTGCAACCTGATCACATGTATTTATTAGTTTTGGTGTTATACAAAATAGGAATAGCTTGTATATTTTAGGGGACATGTTTTTTATACAGCTTCATTCAATTACTTAACCTAGGTTAAGAAACATAATTTTTTATGCGTTTGAATACAAGGCAGTCTTAAGATAGCTATTTCAAAGTACAGAAATATTATCTGTCCTTTCATTTGCTGCACAACGAAGCAGTTTTTCCACTGAAGAGGTAAAAAAGGGCTAATGCTTTTTTTTGTCCTTCCTGAAGAGTGTAAATTATGGATATAATTTGTTTATGAAATGTCTGCAACTTCCAGGACAAAAGTAACCATGCCATCTGTAACTACTTCGAGTTAGATACTGATAAGTAATTTTATTTGAAGCTACTATATTATATCTTCACTTAGTTGTAAAATGCAGACGTCTTTGCTAGTCCTAAGGATCTTAATGTAAACTGTACAATCCATGCAATTTAACATCGTGTTGCAGCTACTCTGTTGGCATATGTCTATGTGATATACAGAAATACAGATTAATTTTGCTTATACTCAAAGCTGACCAAAAGCTGCATGACTATGTTAACATGCCCTGAGCTTGTATCAAGAAGACCTGTTGAGGACCTAAGTACAAAGCATATGAGGACCTAAATACTTTTGCATCAGAACTGTCTCATGTCCTATCAGCATGGAGTACAGGACGAGTCCTCATCTGCCCTTGACCTAGATCCATTCTAGGTCAACCAGATGTAGGCATGCAACACTGATCATGTTAGGTATGGTTTGTAACACAGAAAACCTTCCTGAATAAAACTTACTGTACATGGAAGACTGGTCTAAGCCAATGTTAGAGTAGTTAAACTGGGAGATAACATTGCTACTGTGCTACTGACACAGTTATCTTCATTGTATTAACATCTTTACTTCTGTTAGCTGTGTTTCTTGATATACAGTCAACTTGTAATAAAAACTTCTGCCAGGCACATTGATGAGACTTGTGTATGGATGGCATTTGTGTTAAGGGAATGGGTCAAGGTAACTCTTGTGAAGAGACAGTCAAGGTGAAGTAAAGCACAAGGTTGAGGCAACAGAAGAGAACCTATTTGCTCTGTCACTGTCAATACTACATCCACTATTTGAATAATGGAGCAGAATAGTTTCCATAGTTGGTGTTAACTTGGCATATTGACTTGGCTGACTGCTTTTTGAGTCAGATACTGTGCAGGGTTGTACTTACCCGATCCCTGTATGTTTCATATCAGTTTTAATTTTCTTGAATTCAAGTGTTTCAAGTGCTCAGATACAACGGTATAATTGTAGGGAAGAACAGAATGGTAATTTGGGCCTGTCTATGCCTGGTAGTAGCCCTGTTATCAGTTTTCTGGTAGGTCCCTATATGGACTCTTATTTGACATTAAGGCTTGCTTTTGCTGTTTGACCTGGTTTTCTTCCAAAGCATGATGCAACCTTTGCATTTAATATAATGATTTAGCTTTATCACAAAGCTTCCATATGCATATGTACCCATGGTATCTGTATGGAAAGGGGAATGCTGATCTTTCTATTGCTGTAAACAATTTTGGTCTCTGTTCTTTTCTGATTCAACAGAATTTAGCTTCTTGGAATCCTTCAAACCCTGAATGCCTCCTGCTTGTTGTGAAAGAGCTTGTGCAGCAGTATCACCAATTTCAGTGCAGCCGATTACGCGAGAGCTCTCGTCTCATGTTTGAATATCAGACTTTACTTGAAGAGCCCCAGTATGGAGAAAACATGGAAATCTATGCTGGCAAAAAAAACAACTGGGTAAGCTATTAAGAATATTTCTGCTAAAATACTTTTAGTAATCCTTTTATTTTAATAAATACAGCTCTTGCCTTGGAAAACTTAAGTTGTTTCTGTGGACCTCCGTGCTTTACGTTTCAAATGGAGAAAACTTCCATTTGACTCCAGCTCATGTTCTATACTGCCTGTTTTGTACATTGCTATCATTCCACTGCCTTGGTTGAACTAGATTTCCAGGTGAGTAACTGTTTTTCAACCTGATGTTAGTTCATCTGATTTATAGATGAAAACTTTGAAAACTGTTGAAAAGCCTGTGCAGTAGTTAGAGGGCACAGTACAATGTTATGTGGAAGTTTGAGTTAGCTCTGAAGATTTGAGAGGCAGAATTAACACTGTTGGTATGACACCCTGCCCAGGCAAATCAGGCTGCTTAGGGGTAGGATGTATTAGGGTGTGGTTCCACATTATGATCGAGTTGACTTAATTGGTAGCTGCAGCTGCCTGTATCTCTCTGGCACTTGTCTAAGCTGAGATGAGTTGTTTCAGGAACCTAAACAGGAGAGGGAAAAAAACTGCAAGTAATTTCCTGCAGAAGGACAGGAGGACGTGAGATGGGCTAGAGCAGTGACTCTGTAGGGCCATGTCTTCATACAGCAGTCAGACAGTAAACTGGCTTATCCGTTTCCTGAAGTTGTATCCGTTGCCTGGGAAATGTGCCATGCTGTGTAGAAACACTATGTATACCATCTCAGCCTTCTAAAATGAGGCTAGTGGCAATATAGACATTTTGGTTAGTGTGTGATTTGATTTTTTTTTTTTTTTTTTTTTTTTTTTTTTTTTTTTTTTTTTTTTAACTGATCTCTGCCACAGAGTAGGCTTTGCAAAAATCAGTTTTTTCTGCTGGTTTATATTTATCATGGGAAGTATGGACTAAGATCTATCAGGAATTCTCTAATTGTGTTTATGCTGAATGTATGCCCCTCTTGATTTCATCAATAGCATACTCTTAAGATATACTGACCTTCAGAAGCAGTATTTTCTGAAATAGATGCAGTCTGAAAATTGATGACAATTCAGCTATTCCTGTTATCAGGGCCTAGAATTCAGCTTTGTGTCACTTTACTCATCCTTAAGTTACAGGTGATGCGAGGATGTTTACTTTACAACTCATGGTACTTATATTCATCTGTTTTTCTTTTCTTAGACAAGTCATCTAGGCTTTTTTATTTTAAGCTGAATAAAAATTTCTTTATCAGAGAATTTCAGATCTCTTTCATGTTTATAGATCAGAATATTTAATTGAAATTAATTGGCTCTTAAACATTATTCTCTATAGCTCACATCACAAACAACTTGCCACATCTGTAAATATCATCAGACTGGTTTATTGAAATGGGGAAGGCTTTCTGAACTGTACTGAGATTTTATCATAATTTTTGGCAGCTGCCAAAATTCTACTCAAGATTGTAGAAAACTAGGGGTTTTTTTCCCTTTTTTTTTTTTTTAATAGGAAAGGCATATCTACTCAAGCCTTTTGAATCTTTTGTCAATCTTTGGTGACTGAGTAAAGAACTTCTTTTGCATTTGCAATTTTTTGCATAAGAATTCCAATAAAATCTTAAATACATTTTGAGGCAAATCCTTTTAATCATTGCAGAGCTATTTGAGGTTTCTGTAGCATGTGCTTTGTTTTCAGAGTTTACATTCTCTATCATGAAGACTCTCAGAGTCTTGTTTGGAGATTCTATGAACCTGGTATCTACATGACAGAGGCGTGTTGATGAGTTCCCTAAAACTCAAAACTATAAAACTAACTTGTGTAGTTCTCTTTCCTGTCCTTTACAACTGTCTTGTTAGTCTTGATGATCAGTGCAATAGGAGTGTTTTTCTGAAAAGCAAGAGGTAAACTGCACGTTATCTCCTCTGCCTAGAAGTCATTGAAATTCATGTTGTTGCTGTTTCTCATGAATTGATAGTAGCTCAGCAGACTTCTGAAATAATCATCTATAAATGAACCTTGCACAGTGTTACGAAAGCAATCATCCTAAGTGCCTGAGTTAAAAAAGTTTGAAGAGGGGGCCTGAATTCAGTGCTGTCTCCCAAAATGGAACAGAAATTTGCTTTTATACCTTTGTTCCAGTATCTCCAATTTCCTGATCTCCAAGATCCATGACAAATAGACAAACTGTTATCTAGCTTAGTAGCTTTATGTTGGCAGAGTATCAGCTGATACAGATGCCCATCAACTATCTAATCTCTCAGTGCTGTGGCCAGAAATTCATGTGATTCGACCTGATACCTGTGACCGTCTGGCTGGGGCTGGGTAGGCGAGCACCACGGACAGGGACTGCTCCCTGCCCATCCAGAACCCTTTTGGAAGTAATACATTGCAAAATAGTCTTGACCGAATGACATAAAGATCTAGACTGCAAGTCCTTATTTACTTCCACATCTTGGAACAGCTGATGTTTTGATCAGAGGCCATTCATCTGTTCAGTGGCCATCCCAGTTCATCAGACTTGGTGTTTTACCAGAAATAATTTTCTGGATTTTATGGCAAATGTTGTATGGCATCTTTTTGGAAGATAAGTCCAGACCAGAAGCACTATCTATAATACCCATTTTACTCTGAATAAAAAGCCAGTGCCCTGACTGTCATCAAAGCAGTCTTCATATTATGCACGCACAAGAAGTCAGTCACTTTTCTGCATACATAAGTAATACAGCATCAGAAAGTTGACATCGAGTAGTGTCATCAGGAAAGGTTTCAGAGCCTGGCTTTAATATAATATAAGCTCACTTTTTGTTGCATAGCGTTTCTATGTGCAATTCCTTTGCCTCTATTATGTGACTACCAGGGACAAATTTTTAAGGGCAATTCTGCGCTAGCTGGCAGCAGGGTGGATTACGACCTCACATCATGCAAACCTTTTTGGCAAATTATATAACTGGCAAGGTACTGTTGGAAAGATTTTGGTTGCGTTCAAGGTTTTGTTTTTTCTTCTTTAGTGACTGGATGGTAGAATGAGTTATCTCTAGTTCATGCCTGATACATAGACCAAGAAACAAATTGGCACTGATATTAGTATTGCTTATTGTACATCTGTCTAATACAGCATCTTTGTCTATATGTGTGTAATTGCTTGGGATGAAATCTTTGCTTACTTTAGGCATAAAATTAATTGAAGGAATCCAGTTCTGTAGAATTTTTTTTCCTTCTCAATTTTATTTCATGTTAGTACCACAGAAAAACATGCTTAGCAAACAGTCAGTTCTGTTCCTCAGCTGCCCTGCTTGGCAGCTTACTATTCATTTTGGAAAGCCAGTTTCCATTGACTTTGACCTCCAGTACATTCTCAGAGAGGCTTGTGCATCTGCAAACTCGTTTCCGTCAGTGTTGATTGTGGGATCTCCATCCCTAGAGATACTCAGAAGCCGTCTGAACGTGGTCCCAGGGAACCTGTTTGCTGTCAAGATCGTCTACATCTCTTCCATGGGTCACTGCTGCATTTTACAGAAAGGATGCTCGCATTATTTCAGACGTGTTATAGGCTTTTGCTTACCACAAAGTATAGCCGCATACACAATAAAGATGATCCTGTTTAAATCTAATGTAGTATTTACATTCACCCTCTTAATGAGAATTGCAATATACACATTCACCATAGATGGATGTACACGTTGTTAAAATTTGTATATTGTACATTTCTTGTTTAAAAGTATTTTTCTTCTCGCTTTGTCTGGCTATGCAAAACACTTAAAATAGTAAAATGAAAATAAGGTACAGATAACTATGATCAGGGAATAGTGAAGTAGTACATATGTGTTACTGTGGGAGAATGAATGCTGTATATTTACAGAGCTTTGATTTGTCCCCTTTCCTGTTAAAATGAAGGGCTGTTTTTTAAAAACTGTATGTCGTCACATAACTAAGTAGTGTATGTATGCAAAGACAGGGCAGTGTTAAAACTGAAAAAAGTTTTGCTACCTTGTGTCAAGATGTCCTGATTTTTTGTACTTAACTGATAAAATTAATGTTTAATGCTTTTTGTACTGCTAATTCAACATTACAAATATACCTGCTGTATGGCTACTTTATTGAATTAAAAAATAGGGATGACAAAAAAATTAATATGGAGGAAATCAGGCAAGCATTTGTTTTTCAAAAAGAGCCAATTTCATTGCTTCATAACCAGGTGGACAAAGTCTGGTTTTGAGGAAGTGTATGAAACAGAAAGGAAATCCTTTCCATTTCCTTTGCATACACTTTATGCATTAAAAAGAGCAACGTGTAGGGGATGCTCGGCAAATTTTCAGTAAACGGTTGTCTAGGTGTTAAGAGTCACATAATTCTGAAAACAAATTATATAAAACCTTCTACTTCAGTTCTTCCTCTGTGTTTATTCAGAGGACACTTTTGATACATTCTCACCTTACTCAACACAAATTCTCTTATGAATAACTGCAGTGTTTGTGAAGATGCCTCTATTTTATCGATATGCTCTTATAAATTTGTCAGGTTTTTAGCTTTGCTTTCAGACTATTTGCAGTTCTTGCCAGACCTTTGTCCGGAAATGAGTACAGCCAAGATACATCTATATTTAGGGCCTAACAAAGTATAGTCTGATTTTTGTCATGCACATTGTTGTATTCGACTACTTTTTGCTGTTGACTTACTGGCAATGATGTTTTATGGTTTTTAGGGTGTTTTCTCATATAACATCTGTGAAATCTGTAAATTATTTTTTTCCTCTTCAATAATTCCATTGAGAAATGTTGTTTTAAATCTCAACCCTTCTGTTTGGTATGAGCTCTTACGCATTTTTGTGGTTAATATTTCATCCTCAGAACATCTGATTCGTGGTTCTGTTTTAGATGCCAGGTCTCATTAGTGTTACCTTTTTTTTCTACAGACTGGAGAATTCTCAGCTCGTTTCCTCTTGAAGTTGCCTGTAGATTTCAGCAATATTCCTACATACCTTCTTAAGGTAAAATGAATGGCTAAGTCAACAGTATTTGTAAGAGAGTATGAATTATTGAAATGTTCTTAGTAACTATTTTGGCTTTCCTGCCCTCTTCTCCAGGAGTTTGAAAGTCTACCATTTCTAAACCTGATTTGATTATGTTTTGGAAAGGTGATGTTAGACATACTGTTGTTTTGCATGCAGTTTTACCAGGTAGTAAATATACACCGATCACTCTAAAGGACCTTGCTTCTTGTTGTAGAAGATGGCATGCAATGCAGATGCTCTGGGTTTTTAGACAATATGATAAGTAGCAGACTCTTGACCATATCCAAGGTATTATCTTGGGGAATAAATTTAAATAGTTCCAGATAAACTCTTTTATATGAGCCTATGGAATTTCATGCAATGTAAGTGTTGGGTTTTTTAATGAACAGTCCAATTGTACCAGTAGCCTCGATAGTAGAAGCAGAAAAGCAAACTAAATATACCATTTCTTAACAGGGAGATGTCATACTGATGACACAAACTGAAGGTTTCAATGATGACTTTGCTTCATTGTTTACAACGAATACTAATTTGACCAGATACTTTCAAAAGTAGGACTATAGAGTATTGATGTGAGTTGGAAAAAAGTATTTCTTTCTTTGCTAAGAGGAAAAAAAAAATAACAAAACCAAAAAACCTCGTGACAAACTACCAACATGGAATAATTTTAAATGAGTGATTTTCACAGCAGGAGGACAGTCACTCTTTAAAGCAGTTACTGTGGAAGCCCATCATAAGATCAATGTTACTATATTCAGAGAACGCGCTGAGAGATCCAGGTTCTCTCTGTCTATCATTGCTGTCAGAATGAAGTGCCAGAACTTCTTCTGCAGACAAGGTTTGAGTCAGCTGATGTTACCAACACCCATCTTTCCTTTAAACTGCATGTCTGCCTCCTTACTCAGCTTTTTACTTTTAAATATTTGGAAAGAAGAACAGCTACTTAATGTTTAGCAACTAACGTGTAGAGATGAAAATGTCAGTGTAGATCCCCTTACCTCCTCTTCATCTTATTGTTAGAACTGTCTTCAGTTATTGTTAGATCACAGTTGCAAGTGTGAATCTTCAGTGTTTCTCCAAATAAGATTTCTTGAGCTAAGAACCGTGAAAATGAAGTCAGGCACAATTATAATCTGACTGAAATCTTTGATTGTAGTCTGAGATTGGTATCCTAGGATCTCTTTACGTTCTGTAGATTGTTTGCCGTTTATAATGAGCCACTCCTAACTTTCTCAAAAGCATCCAGATATTTTCAGTTTGTTCCTGTGTTTATGGTAGCAGCCTTTCTCCCAGCTGCTGTCTTTCAGGGCCTTCTCACTTGATGGGAACGTTTCCAGTCAGATGTAAGAGGATTGGCCAAGGCCTTTCAGGAAGGATGGCGTTGAGAAGCAGGATGCAGCAACAGTTCACCTGGACTGCAGGATAGCTGTGATTTGCTTCTGAAAAGGAGGCTGAGAACATGTAATGTGAACTATGCTGTCTGCTCCTGCCAGAACTCCAAGTGCCATATTTTCCAGGGACAATTTTAAATTGATCAAGAATTTCAGGACAAGTGCATACGCAGTATCTTTAATAGATTCAGTCACAGGGCTGTCTTATACCTCTGTTCAGCCTCTGGGGAAACGGCAGGACTTGGAGGTTGGAAGGTGGTGTATGACTTACGTAACTCTCATCACGCAGGAACCCTGTGATAGAAACAGATTCTACTTTCGTTTCTAAAGAGTAACGTTCGAATGCAGGACAGCATACTCCTCCTTACTGTAATTCCCTATCATGTTCACTAAACATCTTCGACCTTCTGTAAGCAAGGTTGGTGTACTGTGAATAAGTCATCAGTGCTCCACAACTGCTTTCTGGAGCGTTGTTCACCCTAAGTACGGAATGATTCATTAGTCTGAAGGAAAAAGTGTATTTATTTTGCATGCATATGTAGATCGTGTGATGTGAAGAGGCATGCACAGAAGGTAGCAGAATCAAAGTTTCCCAGTCTACCCTTATTTTGACATTTCTAAAATCTTAATGTCTTAGCTTTGGGGTTTTAAAATTAATGTATTTTTGTATGTAATAGCCTGGACTTTTACAACAGCAGATCCTTCTTGATGGGCAATATACTGACAAAATCCTTAGCTTTCTTACACAGCCTTCTACTATGCAAACCGACAGGTTAACTGTCTGTGGTAGAAAGGTGATATGTAGTCTAGATGAGTAGCCACAGGAGAAGAAATATTGTTTTATTCCAGTAGTTTTTGTTAACCGCAGAAGAATGGTTTGACTCGGGCTCCGGCATGGATTATGACGGAGAGTGCTCTGTAGCAGGCATGGATCTGTTACCCCTGCTTCCTTTAGCTCCTTGTATTCTGACATCATTAGCTATATGAATGTCATCTCATGTGACAAAAATATAAAGGCAGGTAGAATTGGAACTACTCTGTTGTGGTTGAAATAATTATGCTCTGACTACTCCAAATTCATAAAACTATTTTAAAATAATCAGATTTTTTTAAGCTGTCCATGTCTTTATGTCTTTTTTTTTTTTTTTGATGATACTTTTGACATAAATAGTTCTTTGATTTGTTGCAATAAAATAGGAGTTTATTTTCCATCATGTCTGCCAGTTATGTTGGCTTCAGTGCTACCTGCTGGATTATGGTACATGATAGAGCATCTATTGATGCAGTGGAAATAATTGTTAATATATTACCCTGAAATGTGGAAGAGCAGTCAGAAATTGAAGGCTGTTAGTGTATTAACAGCTTAATGTTTAATTGCAGAATTTAATGTGTTTGAATTATGTTCTAGTCTGTAGCCAGCCTTATAGTGTGCGGTAGCTTCTCTATAATGATTTGCAAAGTTCAAACCTGTGTTATGCTTTCTCTGCCATCTTCTTTTTTGATGTTTAATTAATACTACTTGTATTAAAATCTGATTAAATACTTAAAGACCATTGCGTTTGCCTTATCAATTATCCTAGTACCCCAATGATTTGTAATGCTCTTCTGAAATTTTTATTGATGTCAGTAGGTAATCACACTACAAGTGTGACTGTAAAAGCTTTGTATAGTAAGCCAATATTCAGGGTTGAGGATGTAAGCTGTGAGAACAGTCTGTAGTGTTGCAAAATCTTCAGAGTTGTTGAGAATACACTCCGGAATCATAAGATCTTACTCCGTCAACTTTGTACTGATGGTGGTGAGAGTATTCTCCTTTCCCTATCAAGAATAAAAATTTGAAGGTGTAGCATGAGTTGAGTTGTTATGGACTGGAGAGGCAGATTTATCAGGTTATTTTAAAGGTATTTGCTGCACTAAATTGAAAATTCAATTCAAGTGTGTGTATGTGTTTTAAGGAAAACAGCTGAGTATAGGAAGAAGAGCGAGAATGATTAAAAGAGCAATGCAGAGTACACTGTCTCTTCCTTTGCATTCTGAAATTCTAGTAAAAGTTCTTCAGTTATTATTTATTTGGAAATATAATACTCTTTATAATAGCTGCAGCAGATAAATCTTTTTTCATAAGTTTTCTTGGCATATTCCTTCACATTTGAAAGAAAAAGTATCATTCTTTATTTTCCAAGCTAAAGAACTGTTCAAAAAGAAATGTTGGCTTACACTGAAAAAGCACATTTAGGAAAAGACACCCTTTCATTATTTTTTCCTTTACAAAGTTATACTTTGATACAAAGGTTTTGAATTGAATGTGGACCTTCATATCCACTTTTACATTATTTTCTTACGTAAATCCATCTGACATAAATGAAAATTTTAAGTGTTGAAATAACTGCAGAATCAAGCTGGTGGCTCAAACTACTGCAAGGTTCATTACCGATAAGTCTTTCGTTAAGGTTCTCTTATTTGACAAGAACGTAGCTTTGGCTCAGGAAGATCCTTACATCTGTGTCTGTTTACTGTTATACTTTCCCTTTTTTGCAGTTGGATTTTTAATCAGCACATTCATTTTGGCTTAAATTCTTTTCTGTTGGTTGCAACATTTTTAATTTTCACCACAGTATTTTATAAATGGAAGTATTCACTGTACATACTGGTTTTGAGAGTCAGTCTCTGGTTCACGTTTGTGCCTCTTTACAGATACCATGTGTGCCACAGTAATAAGGAAGGTAATAGACTTAGCATCTAAAATACCTCATCCAAATTTTGTTTCATTCTTTGTAATTTTGGTGAGCTACGGGGACATGTGTTATCGTAATGATAATTCATTAAATATCTCCAGCTCAGTAATTTACAAATTGTACTGGGTTATGTGACTGTAGTATGATTGCACAGTATGAGTGAACTTTAGAGTATGTTGGCAGTGCAACAGTATGCTGTTGAAAACAAGACATTTATGTATTTTTCTTTTATTTCCATGTTTTTTGGAGGTTTTGGCTAACTAAGATGTGCCCTGATTACCACCACCTTCTTGGATGTAATTTTTAAAGTATTCATTTCCCATTCTTATGTACCTGCTTGTTGTGCCCTGGTGAATAGCTAATATCTGGACCAATTTAGCTATCATGCTGTGACCAGCAGCCTTCCAATAATTTCTTACTATTCAAGTGCAAAGAAGACCTAATTTCTTACTTTAGGAGATTTAAAAAAAATCTTTAAACCTGTTTTTTTCTGAAGAGCTTTTTTGTGATGACCATGGTATTTAATGCATATCTTTCAGAACTGAAACAAGTAACAGACATTGTCTAGACACATTGCCAGGGGCCAAACGGTTGTGTGTAAGAGTGTCAATGGACAAGGTTTATCCTCAAGTTGAAATTGAAAGATAAGAACATATTTGTGTTTTTCCGTACTGTGATTTCATCATTTGGAAGTCTGTTAAAAGACTTCAGTGCAACTTTTGTTTACAACGTAGACCAAATTCCAAGTACTGTGAAAAGACTGCAATACTTGTGTATGTTTCAGTAATCAACTATAGTAGAGAACAAACCAAAGTTAAGTATAATAATGCAGGGTCAAATGAGTTTTTTT